CTTATTCCCAAGACATTAATAGGATACAGAGGGGTTTAATAGCCAGAAAAGAGTTTTCCACTTGGATTGACTCTTACAAGCTGAAAGGTTCCAAAGGTTTCCCAGGACATCAGGCAGCTGCCTGGTTTGGGGGATGCTACATGGGAAGAACTGGGAGTGCTTGGGCAGACAATAATTCCTACTGAGCAAATAAATTTGTGAAAGGCTTCTAGAACTGTTCCACTTGTACTGTTTTATTCTTGCATTTTATTATCTACCTCAGTGCCTCAGCTTTCTACCTGCACTTTCTACCTGCACAAAGAGATGGATGGTGCTTATCACCTACATTAAAAGGTGTTTTTCCCCCAATTTCAGCTAATTTAATATACTTAATTTTCCACTGCCTCACAAGGCTGAGTGATACAATTCTTTTGAACAAGTAAGGCAGCTGAACAGCATGAATAAATTCTGTGCAGCTTCCCAAGGAGATAACACTGTGCAGTGGCAGCTCTAACCTTTCCTTTTTTCTCTTATTTTCCTCCTGTCTGATGTCTATTTTTATTCAGTAATCTTATTTGAGAAACAAAATGAGAAAAGAACATTGCTATTCTTGGAAAGCTTCCAATATGCTGGGTGAGAGATAAGAGACAGGCAGCATCTCCCTCAAAGGATTGTTTTATGGTCACAGGCAAAGGTATCATCCCAACAGTGTTGGGAATGAGATATTGGAGTGTCATTTAATCACTCAGTGATCAGGCTTGGATTGGGAACTGCATGGATGGACACGGATCCCAATAAATAGAATTAAAATAAGTAGAATTAAAACCCAAAACCAAGCAACTCTTTCAGCCCTGGCCCCTTGGCTGGGGCTCGGAGGTGGAGAACAAACACAACAGGAGAGTGATTCATCAGAGGAAACTCAAAGCCTCCAACAACGAGGTGATTCATCCTTTGAATGCTAATGGTGTTTTGCAGAAAGCTCAATTTATTGATTTTGATTTTCCATACCTAATAATTTGCAGGCAGCCACGTGAGCTCACGTGTTCACGTGTGTGCAACCAGCTCAGCTGGAGTTTGGGGACCAGATGTTGAGTGGGATCTCTGGTTGAAGATAAAGAACCTCAAAGGTCATCTTGTTCCAGGTTGGATGGAGCTCTGAGCAGCCTGGTCTAGTGGAAGGTGTCCCTGCCCATGGAAGGGGGTGGAATTAGATGGTCTTTAAGGTCCCTTCCATCCCAAACCATTTTGGGATTCTGTGATTCCATAAGAAGCTCGGCAGCACCTCTGCTGAGACAATCAGGAGAGTGTTAAGAATCACTTGGGGTGATAAAATGCACATTATTGAGCATCTTCTCTGAGCTCTTTTAGACCCTGAAAAGCAAAGGCTGAGGTTCTGGTAACAAACTGCACGGATATAAATATAAATAATGGTTTTGATGAAAAATGGACCCAGTTTCCACTGAGGATAAAATCAGAAATTTCTAAAGGCACCTACATACTTTACCCTCCCAGATTTCAGGGGCAGCTGAGTAACTATGTACCTCTGAAAAACTGGGCATTAGTGTCTTTTGTAAAGGTTTCAGTTATCACAACTTCAGTCAAGGGTGAATTTCCACTGACCACATAGATGGGGTTTTCAGTTGTCAGCAAGTTTATTTCCTTTCAGCAGAGGAGTAGATAAATAAATATTATTAAGGGGCTGGGATATTTTGTACTCTTTCACTACAGAGAGTCACTTGCAATGTCTACCAAGAAATAATTAGAACTGCTGGGGTTGTGGTTTGCTTGTTTTCTCCCTGCTTGCCCTTTTATGTGAAGCTCTTTGCTGCAGCCCCGTGCCAATGCAAATGCAGGGCAGGCACCTGCTATTTAATCTCTTGAACCAGAGCTGGTGAGAATGGAGGCAGCATTGATCAGCAGGCACGAAACAGTGAACTGTGCTCTGGGAATCTGCATAACCAGGCAGGTGATGGTGTGAAAGTGTTTGCTGAGCGATGTTTTTAGGAATTAGGGGGTGACAGAGCGTTGCACTGAAGGTGTGTGAAAACACATCACGACCTACAAGCCAGGATGTACAGCCAGAGTACCCCCAAACCCCACTGATTTAATGGGGGTTTATTCACTGCCTCAGACAAAGCTCCAGAAGAGTCCACTCATTCTCTACTGTTATTATTTAAAAATTGCTTTCTGCCTGAACAGCCCAGCTGCCTGAGCTGAGCAGCATTTCATGGTTGCATTTCAAGCTCTTTCACCCATCACAAAAGGGGAATCATTCAAAGAACCTGCTGTTACCTGGGGCCATCTGAGGTGTTTGCCTTGCCTGTCTTGGAACACTGTAAGTGTTCAGAGCATGAGTAAGGGGATGCTCTGTGCTCCTTACAAGAGCATGTGGTGACAGGACAAGGGGAAAAATGCCTTCAAAGTAAAAGTAAGTTTAGATTAAATTTTTGAAATAATCCTTCCCTGTGAGGGTGGTGAGGACCTGGCACAGGTTGCCCAGAGAAGCTGTGGCTGCCCCATCCCTGGCAGTGTCCAAGGCCAGGTTGGACAGGGCTTGGAGCAACCTGGGCTAGTGGGAGGTGTCCCTGCCCATGGCAGGGGGTGGAACAGGATGACCAGCAGATTTCAGCATTCCCAACTCCCCTTTTGAGTTTGTGCTCATGGTCTGATCAGATTAAGATTAGAAAGCAACAATCCAGTTTAATCTGGATTGTACGTTTTTACACAAGGGATTAAATTATCCCATTTTCACCTCACTGGCCTTCACTGATCTCTTTTTCTTTTGGAGCCATCACCACCACCTGTTTGTCTCCCTGCAAGCAGCACAAGTGTTTTGCAGTTAGCAGAGCTGACCTGCACATCTTTGTGTGGCTGCAAAAGCCTAAAAGCTCCCCAAGAGCTTTGCCCTCCTCGTGACACCCAACACGGTGTGACATCCTCCAAACTACACCACCTTTACTTTCCTAAAATCATCTTCCTCAGTGAATCTGCTCAGCCACGAGCAAGAGATGCTGAACTACCTGTTCAAGAACAGCAGATGCTGAGAGTCACTGCAAGACCTTCTAACCTGGGTTTTCTCCCACTTCAGAATTGTTGCCAAGGAGATTTGGGGAGCGGTGACAGTGTGAGGGGATCCCCCTGTTCTGCTTCCCAAGGGCTGGGTTTGCTCCTCTGCAGGACTGGCTGCTTAAAGGGGTCAAATGAACTCTCAGAGGCAAGACTGTGGGAATCTTTATCACCAAGGTTAAATTCCAAATTAATCCAAAATTATTTCCAAATCAGGGTGGCTGAGAACCTCTGCTGCTCGTGGCTGCCCAAAACTTTTGCATCCACCAAGGAGGACCCAGAAGTTGATGATCCACCTCATCCAACAGGTCAGCCTTGAGCAACAGATTTCCTGGAGGAGGCCTGACCATTGTCTCATCCCCAGGAGAGGAGGCTGCTCCCCTTTGCCTCTGGTTAAACAGATTGTGCCTGTTTCCATGGTGATAAGGGATGCTCTGAAAAACCACTCCTTTGCAAATCTCGAGAAGCCTTTGTAGTGCTGTGCTCCAGTGATTTTAATAAAGATAGTGGTAATGATAGTGAGATGTCAGGACTCTGTAATGTCAGGGGTGTAAAGAATAATTGGACTAAAATAGGGAAGTACTGGGAGTCCCACAAGCCAAAATAAGAGAAAACTGGAGAATTACACTCAACAAATACCTGTATTTTTCTATTCTGGTGTTCTTCCCAAGGCATTTCTTGTTGCTCTCTACTGAAGGCAATATGTTAAGTTGGATGAACCAGTGGTAAAGTCCTCTTTACCCTCTCTGATGTGTCTGTATTCCCAAACCAGGAGTAGCTGAAGACACATGGATTAGTGGTGGGCTTGGCAGTGTTGGGTTAATGGTTGGATTCAATGAACTTAGAGGTCTTTTCCAACCTCAGTTATCCTGTGATTCTAAATAACACTCCCAGAAACTTGGATCCTGTTGCACAAGTTAACTGTCTCGTACAGATATACAATTCAAAAATGGATACCCATCTAACTGTGAAAATTCTCAGAAACACACAAGTTTATTCAAGCTGGACTGGCCAGAAAGACAGGAGTCATCTCACATAAAACATGCAGGGTTAGGGATGGCTGGTCCATCAACACTGGAATGAAGTAGGAATGTTTCCAGATAAACAGGCAATGAAGATGGGGCCTTGATTTGAAGCCATTTGAGGAGCAGCTGAGGGCACTTGGTGTGTTCAGCTGGAGCAGACTGAGGGGAGAGCTCATTGAAGTTCCAACTGCCTGGGCAGGGGCAGAGGAGGGGCAGGACTGAGCTCTGCTCTGGGGGGACCAGGGACAGCCCCCAGGGAATGGCTGGAGCTGTGTCAGGGCAGGCTCAGGGTGGAGCTCAGGGAAAGGTTCTTCCCCCAGAGGGTGGTTGGCACTGAACAGGCTCCCCAGGGCAGTGGGCACAGCCCCAAGGCTGCCAGAGCTCCAGGGGTTTTTGGATGATCCTCTGAGGCACTTGTGAGGTGTGTGACTCTTGGGGATGGTTCTGTGCAGGGCTGAAGGATGGACTGATGATCCTCATGGGTCCCTTCTGAACTCAGCATATTCTATGACTGTCCTGTGCAACAGGAAGGCAGAGCTCCAGGGCCACTCAGGGTGCCAAATGCAGTTGCTGAGTAGAAAATGAAACAGCATTTGCATATCTCCCCATTTCACAGAAAGCCAGTGGAGGGCGGGGGCCGACCGGTCTGAGGAACTGTTCACCTTCTGACATCAGACACCTCCGTGCAGGGCACAGACAGCCCTGGAGAGCTCCCTGAGCAGGAACATGAGGCTCCTTCCCCTGCTCACAGCTGCGTCCTGCCTCACGCCCCCGGGGGCCTCGCTCTCTGGGCTGCGAGTGATGAAGGTTTTTTTCCGGATCACATGAGCCAGGATGAGGGGGGAAAATCCTGCCAGGAGCAGAGATGGGCTGCAACTTGAACCTGATCGAGGGGAGATACAGAGCAAGTACCTCGAGAGCTATATAAGAATGTGCCAGGCACAGGAGCAAACAGTTGTTCAGGTGAAGGACTCGCGTGAATCAGCCATGAATGGCAATGAAGATGCTGTTTCAAGGAGGCTTGGGGGCACCAGCAGAATATATTTGTATTTCATCATCGCCATCCTCGTCGCATTGCTCGTCTTCGCGTTGGGCACCATCATGGTCCTGGTCGTTCAGAGGACGGTAAGAGGTGTATTCATCTTTTCTTTTCTTTTCTCTTTTCTTTTTTTCTTTTCTTTTCTTTTCTTTTCTCTTCTCTTCTCTTCTCTTCTCTTCTCTTCTCTTCTCTTCTCTTCTCTTCTCTTCTCTTCTCTTCTCTTCTCTTCTCTTCTCTTCTCTTCTCTTCTCTTCTCTTCTCTTCTCTTCTCTTCTCTTCTCTTCTCTTCTCTTCTCTTCTCTTCTCTTCTCTTCTCTTCTCTTCTCTTCTCTTCTCGCCTTTGTGCTGCCTCCTCAGGAAAATGGAGAGAAGTTCCATCATGCCTCAGTGTTTGCTCCCTGGTTTTATTGTGTCTCCTGTTGTTTCTTTGGAGAACAACCACAGTTTGAGATGGTTTGGTCTGGTCTGGTCGTGCCTACATGTGTTCACCCACAATAGGGATTAATTCCAGCGGTGGATGTGCCACAGGACACCTCTGTGTGACCCAGGCAGTGCTGTAGGTGCATCCTGGCAGATGCAGAGCTCTCCTGATCCACCCCGAGCAGTGGATGGGGGCAAAGCAGCTCATTCCTGCTCTCTGTCCTGTTCTTGGGTGGAATTTTTAATGCACAACGAAAGCTACAGCAAGGAGGGCTGAGGATGTGAGACAAGGTCTCACAAAAATAACTGCTCCCTCAGCCCACAGGCATTATTTCCTTCTTAAAATAGAGGAGAGCTCTTGAGTGCATCTGGGGTTGAGTGGGGAATCAGTGAGACTCTGACAGCCAGAGCAGAGCTACAGGTGGTTGTGGGTATAAAAAGTGCACTTCTAACCTCACCAGGGGCATTTCCATCCACTTCACCGGGGTAAAATGCCGGGTTAGAAGTTCTACAGGCTTTGAAATCTCGTTGCAAAAATGCAAGTGCTGAAGTACTTCCACTCCTGCTCATAGAATGAAAGCACCAGCAAAGAACTGCTGGGGGAAGCTGGGTATAGAAAACAAAATATGGTCCTTTGGCTCAATATTTTCTCTTCCTAAATTTACCCCATGCAATTTGTGTGCACATTACCCAGAAATTAAACCATGAAGACTTGACTGATACTTCTTTAAGCTCTGCCAGAGAGGAGTCATTTACCTGTAATCAGTGTTCTTCCAAAAGAGGAGCAGTTTGAGGGCAGTTAAAGTGAGACATGGGGATTTTTAAGTGATAAATAGGGGGATATTAAGGGAGATCTTTAAAATAACAAGCTGGGTAATTACAGACTTGCCACAGCTTTTCTATATAATGAGGCTTTCATTTGTACTTATTATGAAAGTAAGCATTAAATTACCTCTCCATCGGGATAAACACACTTACACCAGTAACAATATCACTGAAAGAGTCAGTGTTTTGACTTAAAAGAGTAATGACACCGTTGCAGCTGCTTTGAAAATGAGCTTGGCTGAAGGAGGAAATAGGAAGCTGAGGTGTGTGAGAAACAAATAAAATCAAGCAGCAATTTTACGCTCTGAGGAGAATTTGGCAGTAAAAGCCACAAATTGTGCTCTTGCTCTCAGGGAGATGCAAGACTCCGAGTTCAGGAGCAGTGTAATCATCCTCCATCCATGACTGGTTTTGATTTCCAGACCAGGGAACAAGTGTTGAGTCCAAGAGACAGAAAGACTTCAGCTTGTGGTGGCACCGTCAGGGGAAGGCTGGGCACAGACTCCTTTGGGAAACACAGCTAGTGGTTGGGCTGAACATCTCATAACTTTGACTTCAGCAGCTCCAGGAAAAGGGACTGGAGAGTTTTGGACCCATGTGGATATTGAGTCCTGTTGCTGCAGGGATTAGAGCATCATCAAGGTTCAACCAGGCCAAGTGCCGGGTCCTGCACTGTGGCCACAACAACTCCCAGCAGCCCCACAGGCTGGGGACAGAGTGAGGGGACAGGACCAGGCAGGGAGGGACCTGGAGGCTCTGGCTGAAGCAGCTGAACATGAGCCAGGGGTGCCCAGGTGGCCAAGAGGGCCAATGGATCCTGGCCTGGCTCAGGAACAGAGTGGCAGCAGCAGCAGGGAGGTGATTCTGCCCCTGTGCTGGGCACTGGGGAGGCCACACCTCGAGTGCTGTGCCCAGTTCTGGCCCCTCAGCTCAGGAAGGACATGGAGGGGCTGCAGCAGGTCCAGAGAAGGGCAATGAGAGTGCTCAGCCATTGGAATGGGCTGCCCAGGGAGGGGGTGGAGTCCCCGTGCCTGGAGGGGTTTGAGCAGAGCCTGGATGTGGCATCAGTGCCATGGGCTGGGTGACAAGGGGGGTTGGGTCACAGGGTTGGACTCAGTGATCTCAGAGGTCTCTCTAATGCAGTTGATTCTGTGATTCTGTGATCAATTGACTTAATTATTTTCTTTGCAATTTCTGAAGAAGGGACCAACTTTTTGTGTGATCACCCTCTTGGGCTGCTCAGGTTTTCTCTCCAGGCGTTACCAGCTGGATTATGGGAGTGGTGCCCTCCCTATGCTGAGCAGAGGTAGAAGCTTTTCTTTTCCTCTGCTCAAAGGTGTTTAAAGGGTTGTAGGGACAACAGAGATGTTGTGACACCTTTCTTGTGTGTCACAGCATTAAAGGGAGGCTTCTGGTGGCAGCAGATCACACAGCCCCCTGCCCTCATCACAGGTTCCAAGTTGGCTGCTTGTGTTCCCTTTTATGAATTTACACTTGCCTATTTTAGGAGGAAGGAAGACAGATTGGAAAAGGAAAATCAAACTGTGTAGACACAAAGCATTGGCATCACCCACGACCTGGGTGCTCTGAACAAGGGAAACACGACATGAAAGACAAGATAAAAAAAAAAAAAAAAAAAAAGGGAACTATGATTCAAAGCTGCTTCTCTGAATCTACCAGTGCTTCTAATACATGTGAACACCCCTCCCTCCCATTTTCCAGCACCCCAAGAACTTTCCTTTACGCCTCGTTTTCAAGAAGGGTGGCACAGCACGTTAATGCCAGACCTGGGAAGTGTCATTTTTGAAAGTAAACTGTGATTTTTGGAATTAATTACACCTAGTGCTGAGGTCAGTTCATTTCCTCAGCTTTCATGTGCAGAAACCCTTGGCTTCGGGCCATTCTTGATCTCTCACAAGTGACTTTATTTTCCTGTGGAATAAGAACAGTCTCTGTAAGGTGGTCTGGAGGCTTCATTTTTCTTCTTAGCCCTTTTATAGGTGTGTTTAAACCTCCACCCCTCTGCCTGCTCTTGAATATATGTGTATATATACACATCTCTGTAGGTAATAAAGTGTATAGAGAGACAGGCATAAAATCAGGGAAAGAGAATGGGACAGAAAGGACTGGAAAAATGTCATTTTAAGACACACAGACCCCAACAAATCTTGTGCTGTACTGGAGGATGTGCTGTGTGAGACACCTGGGCGACCCACCCCCATGAACAAACTCTGTGTGAATGTCCAAAATCCACGATCTGGGTCAGTCCATCAGTGCTCTGCAGTTTGTTCACTTCAAATCTTTAACCTAAATCACGTGGGCAAATCTTTTCACCACCAATAAGGCACCTGTGTGGTAACTGCTGAGTCAGTGCAGGGATTTATATTTGCTGATCTAGTCTTGAAGGCTGTTAAAAACATTAAAAAGTGGCTCTGCCGTGCCCAGGAATCCCTCCTCCAGCCCCTCCTGCAGTTTACTGGGGATTTCTGTCTGCTTAAAACGAGTTTTGTGCCAACTGCCCCAATCGGTGCCTGTTGGCCCCCTCTGGTGGCAACCCCGAAGGAAATGAAAATAAAATAAAATAAAACCACTGGAAATTGCCCCTCAAAGCAGATTTAGCACTCACTGAGCACGGCAAGAAACCACTGAGGCATTTTAGAGGAAAACCACAGTGGCTCCTGCTGTGGGTGTTCTGTGCAGGGACAGTTCCCTGCTGCCTGCAGGGGTCACTTGGATAGGTTTGGGCAGTGCTGGAAAACCTGATTTTCACACAGAGCTGTTTCCTGTGATGCTCATTATCAGATCAGTTGTGGAGATGATGCTCTGCTTTCTGCAGTTCCGTGTCTAGTGGCTACATTTGCCTCTTGGCACCTCAAGGCCACCTACCTGAAGTGCCACCAGCTCCCTTTCTCCTCAGAGAATAGAATCACAGAACCATTAAGGTTGGATAAGATCTCCAAGATCAAACCCAACCTGGGCCCAATCCTCATCTTGTGCCCCAGCCCAGAGCACTGAGTGCCACGTCCTGTCCTTCCTTGGACACCTCCAGGGATGGGGACTCCACCACCTCCCTGGGCAGTTCCAAGGCCTGACCACTCCTTCAGTGGACAAATTCTTCTTGAAGTTGTGATGGTTTGGGGCTGAGCAGAAACACAGGAGAGCCTGGAGGCTTCTCTTCAAACTGAAGAACTTCCTTTGAGGACAGAGGACCAGAGAGCTGGTCCCCACAGAGCTGCCATGTGGACATGCTCCTGGAGAACTCTGGAGCTAGTTAAGCTGAGCCCAGGCCCATTCTGGGGGGAGTGTGGTTTGGAAGAGTGTTTTCTTGGACTTTCTAGAGGTAGATACACATTTTATAGAATCCCAGAATGGTTTAGGTTGGAAGGGACTTTAAAACTCATCCCATTCCACCCCCTGCCATGGGCAGGGACACCTTCCACTAGCCCAGGTTGCTCCAAGTCCTGTCCAACCTGGCCTTGGACACTTCCAGGGATCCAGGGGCAGCCACAGCTTCTCTGGGCAACCTGTGCCAGAGCCTCACCACTTCCCAGTGGTCAGAGATGTCTGGTTAGATGAATATTCACCACTCTGGCACAGCAATTCACAGTGACCCTTTAGCAGTTCCACTCCATCGCAGCCTGAGAAAATTCCTTGTAAAATGATTAAGAGAAACAAGAACAAAATTAGTTTCACTGACAACTGATTATTTCCTCTAATAAAGCAAACTCATATCATTCTGCTTGCTGAGTAAAGACTGAGATCCTTCCTCATCAGCACCCAGATCACTCCAGACAGGGTGAAATTCATTGTCGTGAATTCTTTCTGAGCTGCCACTGTAGAATGTAATCTATCTGGGCTCCCACTGTGTGATTTTTTGCATTCCAAACAACAGCATTACATGCAACATTTCTGCTGCTAGAAAAGAAAGAAGTAATGCCAGTAATATTTCAGATTGAGTTCTAAAGTTTTATTTCAATCTCTTCTCATTTGCCACGAAAATAAATTGCATTAGTATCTGCTGCTTTTACTTGCTTAGAGACTTCCCAGGGGAGAGCACAATAAATTAGTGCCTTTTAATTTTGTTTCTGTTGCCCTGACTACAAAACAGGCTGTGGGACATCCCTTGTCCCTCACACGAGCTCCGAGGGAGGTTTGCAAGGTGAACACCTCGCTGGTGGCAATGTCTCAATTGCTTTACCAAACACTTCTCTATTAAATCATTTAATTCAGTGTAATCTCGTTGGGGACAGAGAATCCCCTTCCTGTCGTGTAAAAATACCTTTAATTCTCCACAGAGGGCAGAAATGCTCATGTATTACAAGGAAAAATAACACTTTCCTGTGCCCTGAGCGTGTGTGGGAGAGGCAGCTCCGTGCAGGGGGCAAAGGAAAGTGCTGAGAGGTTCTGGCAGAGGGTCCTTGGCAGTGTTTTCAGCCAAAACTCTTCTCAGTCCCAGATTTCATGATATGATGTGCAAGTTTGTAAGGGAGGACATGGGGTAGAGGACAAAAAGCTTGGAAACCCCATGTTTTTCAAATCATATCTCTCAGTTTCTGTTCATCTCCTGACCCAGTAGCTTTCCTGCACACCTTGGGAAGGTCACCTGGAGAAATCCTGTCCCAACAGGTAACTCTGCCCCTTCCTTACTCAGACGTGGGAGGAGAAAAAGGAACAAATTATTTTTTACTGATTTCTAAATTACTGGGGAATCACAGAATCACTTAAATTGGAAAAGAGCTCCAACATCATCGAGTCCAAGCATTAAGCCAGCACTGCCAAGTCCACCTGGAAGCAGTTCTGCCACCTCTGCAGAACACAGAATTTGGATTTAGACCAAAGCATTGCTTTGCTGGGAGCAGACACAGCTCTACACTTCAGCATGGTTGAAAACATGGTCACATTAAGCCAAACTCTAACTAAAACTCTTCCTAAATATCTAAGACTAAAACATGAAGTACCACAAACAGGCCCAACATGATTTCTCTCGCTGTCCAACCGTCTTCCTTCTCCCCACACCACCTGTTATTCAACTTATACACAGAAATGAAGTGCTCATGTTGCAAACCAAGTTGTTCCCCATTTCATGATGTGCTTCATTTCTCCCAGGAGATATTAAATGTTCTGTTAAAGTTGGTACCAGGTTCCCAACTTTCTTCTTCTCGGACCTGCTGGTGGGAACAGGCCCCTCAGGGGAAGTGGTCACTGGCATCAAATCTGACAGAGCTCAGGGAGCACCTGGAAGATGTTCTTAATCAGATGGTTTAATTTTAGATAGTCCTGTGAGGAGCAGGGAGTTGGTCTTGATGATCCTTGTGGGTCCTTTCCAACTCCAAACATTCTATAGTTCTCTGGTAAGCTGGACTTAGCCTGGTTAGTCTCCACAATTAGTTTGCACCCAGGTAAGAGGAGCTGTTTTAGCCTTGATCCCAAAACCACAGTGGGATCACTTGGTGTGTGTGAGTGAAAGGATGTGGACACAGTTTCAGGCACTGAAGAGCCTGTGATGAGGGAAAAAAGATCTGTGATGAGGGAAACGTTTCAAAACCACTTTTAAAGCAGGGTTGCACTTGAACCATGGATATGCCCTGCTCCCAGAATAACCATCCCTTCTCTTTATTCTCTTTCAGGCACCTGATCCTGCCATGGAGGGCATCAAAAAACCCATCAGGACTGGTAAGACACCTAAACAATGCATGTGATTTGGCTCATCTCTAATGCAAATACTGCCCGGGGTCACAAATAAGCCAAGTGTGCACATCTTAACATTTCACGTTAAGTCTCCTCTTGGTGAAGAGCCAAAGTAGTGGGTAAAAAAATAAAACTAATAAGAAAAAAAGCTTTCAAATTACTCAGTACCTCCAGAAGCCAGTGCATGGCTGAGGAAATAACAAATATATCTGAATGTGCCCTGGAGTGTCTTTGCAAAGGAGCCTTTTTGCCAGATGATGTGAACATCACTATGACTTTCAGGGCTGCTCTTACCCGTGTGTGATGTCCACGTCTTCACAAGGCAGGGGGGAAACTGTGTTGCCACACGTTTCAGAACAGGTGAAACTCCTCCTGTGCTCCTCTGGCCTGGAGCAGTTTAGTTTCCTACTCTCTGTGGGGCAAAGGGAGAAGGGAACAAAAGGCACGAGCAAGGAATTGAAACAGGCAGAGTGTGAGCACGGGGAGCCCAAAACAGGGGAAAAAGGCTGTCTAGCAGAGACAGTGGACTACGATTTTGCTTTTCCTGAGTGTAAATCAGGAGGGGAACTGTTTATTGCACAGGCATTGGCTCCCTGGTTACACGGCTCTTAGCACCGAGGATTTGAATTCCTGCAGATATAAGTTCATGTTCAGGCCCAGAGGACAGGAGATGCCATTGTCTCCTGCTATAGATGGGAAAAATGAAGCCCAGTGTTCATCTAGAAAAGGTGCAGAATGGGAGATTAAAGGTCACTTGGCTTGTCCAACTGGAGGAGACTGAGGTCAGACCTCACCAAGGTCTGCAGCTCCTCAGGAGGGGCAGCTCTGATCTCTGCTCTGTGTGAGCAGTGACAGCACCCAGGGAATGGCTGGAGCTGTGTCAGGGCAGGCTCAGGTTGGATCTCAGGGAAAGGTTCTTCCCCCAGAGGGTGGTTGGCACTGAACAGGCTCCCCAGGGCAGTGGGCACAGCCCCAAGGCTGCCAGAGCTCCAGGAGGATTTGGACAACGCTCTGAGGGACAGGGTGGGATTGTTGGGGTGTCTGTGCAGGGCCAGGAGCTTGACTGGATGATCCTGGTGAGTCACTTCCAACTCAGGATATTCTGTGATTCCCTGATTCTACGTAACAGAAATCCCCAACAACAACCTTTTCTGCAGCATTTGAGCAATGCTTACTCTATTTTGGATAATTTTTGAATGCTTGTCTCTCCCATATTGGGCTTGTTTCCTAGCCCAGGGAGTGGGGCAGGGGGTGGAACTGGATGATCTTCCAGGTCCCAACTCAAACCAGTCTGGGATTCTGTGATGCTACAGTTCTGTGGTGGGACCAGCTGGGGTTCACTCAGGCTGAAAGGCCAAGGGGCACAAGTCCACACCCAGTTACAACTCTGAATTAATTTTGTCTTATTAAAGCCGGAAAACACGATGATTTCATTGAGATTTCCATCGGGATTATGTTCTATTGTTAGCTAAACCCCAGTGGGCACTAAAGCAGATTTATGGGAGGTTTATGGCCCTGACTCAGCTGTCAGCCCTCAATGGATGGGCCTGCAGAATCTGCAAGCACAAGCTGAGAGCGATGCAATGTCAGCTAATTAAATGTTTGTGTGAAAAATGGCATCAGTCTCCTCAAATCCTCCGTGCTGCTGTCAGAGGAGCACCTGAGCAACAGGGGGAGAGGATGAAATCCATCACGAACTAAACGGTTGTGAAATGTTCTTTGTGGAATTATCCCTCTGTAGAAACTCATCCCCATTTTGTAAATATTGGATCATATTTTAATATGGGATGGAGAGGTGTTGTGCTTTGGTTCATGTTTTAGAGGGACAACTAAGTCACAGAGAAATTTACGACCTGCAGACTCTGGAGAGGCTCAGCCCTCATCATCTCCCTGTTGTCTTCTCCAAGCCTCATTTCCCCATGAATCCTGGGCTGATGGCTTTTCTTGTTATTCGAACTGCAAAGATTTGGTACTTAAATCCCTCCTCATTTACAAAAGGAAAAAAAACCTGCAGGTACATATCCACACACACACACACTTTACAGATATTTTTGTCTGGCAGTAAGATCCATTGGCAAATGATGGAGAGAAGAGGAAAGGAAATCCATCACCCCATTCACAGTTTCAATGGGAAATATGTTCCCAAATAAAAATCTGGCTCTGAGAAATTAATATAATACAGGTGACAGTCAGATACTTGATATCACAGAGTAAATCAGGCTGAAACCAGTGAACCAAGAAACCTCTTAGGATTTGCAGCAATATCTCAGAGGTCAGCTTGGTCTTCTGCAACTAAATCTGATCTCTCCCAACCTGGAATTCTCCCAGTGCAATACTTTGAGGAGTGGGTGAGGGAGCTGGGGGGGCTCAGCCTGGAGAAAAGGAGGCTCAGGGGGGACCTTCTGGCTCTGCAATCCCTGACAGGAGGGGGGAGCCAGGGGAGTTTGGGCTCTGCTCCCAGGGAACAGGGACAGGAGGAGAGGGAACGGCCTCAGGCTGTGCCAGGGAGGGTCAGGTTGGACATCAGGAGGAATTTCCTCATGGAAAGGGTTGTCAGGCTTGGCAGGGGCTGCCCAGGGAGGTTTGGAGTCCCCACCCCTGGAGGTTCCAAGGAAGGCCTGGCCGTGGCACTCAGTGCTGTGGGCTGGGGGACAAGGTGGGCATCGAGAACAGGGTGGATCCATGGGCTGGGAGGGATTTTCCAACCTCAGGCGTTCTGGGATTTCGTGATGACACTGCAGGTCATCAGTCACTAATCCCATGACAGAGGGTTCTTCAGAAACGGATCTTTCACTCTTAGACCATAAAGATTTTTGCCTCCTCACCCCCAGCAGTGTGTCTGCATGCACATGGGTGACACTGTCTGAGCTCTGTCTGCTGTGGGAAGGGCAGGGCAGGGGAGTTCTGTCTCTCACTTGTAAAAATTTGGGCAAGCCTGGGCTTGTAAATGCTGGAAAGAGAGCACAGGCATCCTCCTCCCAGGCAGGAAAATGCAACCACACACATTCCAGTTAGTCATAATGGGAGCTGGTTGCTTGTTTAATTGATAATGAGATGATTGGTATGGCTCAAAATGCTGAATGTTGGATCTTCCCTCCCACCAATACTTAAAACACAGGTTATAGATGAGTGTATATATATATATATATATGTGTGTGTGTGTGTGTGTAAATAGCTCATGGCATTGTGTGACCTGTGCTACACTGATGAGCATGTTACAGATTTGAGTAGTTTTGGCCTTAAACACAAGTTATTGATGAATATATATATATAAAAAATAATATAATGAGCTATTTATTTATATTTTATAGATGATATATATAATACATAAATATATATTATGTGTATATATTTATAATATATATATTCTATATATATATAAATAACTCATGACATTCTGTGACCTGATGACCATGTTAGAGATTTGAATAGTGTTGGCCTTAAACTCCACAGAACTCTACAAGTTTGGCAGTAGTCAGGTGTGCAGCGATGAATTCACAAGATATTCCTCCTAAATTTGGAGGAAAGAAAGGGGATATTTCTCTAGTTCATGCTTTTTGGAAGGAGGGGAAACTGGCAGCTGATTTCAGTCCCTTTTCAGTGCTCAGGAGCAAAGTGACACCCCTGGGCTCTCAAGGAGCACAGGACTTGGTGTGTGGGTGCCAGGCACAGCCAGGAGCAGAGCCCAGCTCTGTCCCTGAGCCCAGGAGGAGATGTCACCCAGCTGGAACTGTCACAGCATCATGGCTTGGGACAGTCCTTCAGCACCAGCCAGTGCTGTTTGCAGGGCCCTGAGCCAAGTGTTAAAGATACTCACAGGGACTTCAGAGAGTGGCTGCTGAGAAATGAAATTAGGCAAATTCTGCTAACTCTGGCGTGCTGACACCTTGCCTAATTCTATAAGCACTTAAATCCGTGGGGGTTGCAGAGGAACTGAAAGCTCTTTGCTGCCTTCTTGTGCTTCTTTACTTCCGAAACTATATTTGGGGTTTTGACCTGCTCTTGTGCCTGGCACACTCAGCCTCCAGCCACCTGTGGTGCCACCCACAGGGCAGTGGAATGTCACAGCAAGGGGTGACTGGCACCAGGACAGGCTTTGAAGCCCCATCTGAGGGGCTTTCCACGCCTGGGTAGCAACACCTTCCATGCTGAGATGCCACTTTCAGCTCTTGGTTTCAGTGCCCTTTGGTGGCACTCCTGTTGCACCCATCTCGCAGTGGGGAAACTGAGGCAGCCAGAAGTGAGAAGAGTTTTCCAGGCAGGGTCACACCCTCATGCACCTGCCTGGCACCAGCCCATCCATCCACCCCATCCACCTGTCCCACATCCCTTGGGCTCCTCCTGGCTGGAGGAGGTGCTGCTGTGTTTTGATGAGACTCGTTCCAGTTTGCACCTCAGGGGGAAATCCTGAGGGTTCAGTGGGGCTGCAGCTCCCACTTCACAGCCCTGCTGTGCATCCCTTTGGCTTGGGGAAGAAAAGCTGCATTAAGCTCATGGAAGTAGCCTGGCCTTTTTTCTCATCCTCTGGATGCTCATCCTGTGGTAAAAGGGGACAGGAAGGCAAAAATGAGTTGTCACCTGCTTCTTTAGGACAAAATGGCTTAAATGGCCCTGCTTGAAGCAGATGATCTCCAGCTTCTGTGCATCACACCACGAAAGCAGGGTGGTCTCCTGGGTACCTGGTCCCAAATGTGGCTTTGTCTTTCCTCCTTCTCACAGTATTTTTAAGCTCATATAATCCTATTGATTTGGGAGGGATTACTCCTGATTTACACTGCGAACAGTGCAAAGCCAATTAGGTGATGTGATTGAACACATCCATCGATCACCTCTGAAACTCTGGTAATTTCAGGCACTCTTGGCTCAAGCTGAAATGTTTCAGATAAAAGAATTAACTTAAGAAACAAAAAAAAAAAGAAAAAAAAACAGTTATAAGCTGCTTCAGCAGAGCAGGAACCAGAACTGCCTTCATAAAATGATTTTTAATTTTTTCATAACTTACCTTCTGAAAAAAAACACAGAATAAATGGTTTAAATGCAGACACACAAAATCTGCTGACACCAATAAATGCAAGTACAGCTTTGGAAATGCAAAGTGGAGTCAGGTCTGTGAGGGGAGGTCACTGGAGATGCCCTGAACACCCTGAGACAGCTCAGGACAGGCCAAGCTCGGGGCAGCTCCAGGCTGTTTGTGGGCAGGCTCAGCACTTTGCTTGCTCAGCAGATGTTGCAGCTTCCAAAGTCTGCTTGTGCAGCAGGGGATTTTCAGCTTTATAGGGTAAACCTCCCTAAATGCCACTGAGTTTCTGCAAAAGATTCTCTCCCTTCTGGCAGGACACGTAGTGTGAGTGAGCTCAAGGTGCTGACTCTGTGCTACCAAAGACTTGCTAGTGCTGTAACAACTTCAGTTTGAAATAAAGGCCAGAAGGGTTCTCCCCCATCCTTTGCCCTATCTCCCCATCTCACCCTCACTGAAACACTACATTGACATGACTAACACCAGGAAAGTAGGGTTTGTTTTTTCTTTGGGGATTTCCAGCATGGTGAAGGGACCTTGGTGCATGGCTTACTCATTGTGGGAGCACAGTGAGCTCCTGCTCTCCCCAAAAGCATTTAAACCATGAAATTGGAGAAAGACTGTAATTTTTTCAAGATATCCACAGCCTTTTTATGCAACAGAGAATGCAAAGGGTGCAATGCACACACAAACACACCCAGACAGGGGATTTGTGTGGGACCAGCTTCTCCCTGATTTATCCATCATCCTGACCAAGTCTCCCTTAGAAATCAGGCCATGTAGTTACTGTGAGAGTTTGGAGATTTTAATCTCTTTTTTATTACCTGTAGTTTCAGGAATCCTACGAAACTTATGATTATTGTTTCACTCCGCATTTTATTAAGACTCCTTCTTGTTAGAATCATTGAATCTCAGAATATCCTGAGTTGGAAGGGACTCACCAGGATCATCCAGTCCAGCTCCTGGCCCTGCACAGACACCCCAACAATCCCACCCTGTCCCTCAGAGCGTTGTCCAAACCCTCCTGGAGCTCTGGCAGCCTTGGGGCTGTGCCCACTGCCCTGGGGAGCCTGTTCAGTGCCAACCACCCTCTGGGGGAAGAACCTTTCCCTGAGATCCACCCTGAGCCTGCCCTGACACAGCTCCAGCCATTCCCTGGGTGCTGTCCCTGGTCACACAGAGCAGAGATTGGAGCTGTCCCTCCTGAGGAGCTGCAGACCCTGAAGAGACACCTTCCACCAGCCTGCATCCCGGCACCACATCCCTGTGTTCCAGCTTCTGCCTCCCGGTGCTGCATCCCCGTGACCCAGCTCGTGCATCCCCACCCCTTGCCCTTACATTTCACCCCCTTTCCAGCCACACTCCCCCTTTCCATCTCCTCTGTGTAAGCTTTTCCTTCTCTCACCGTGCTGAACGTTCGGTTAATGGCACTGATTATCCATCCCGGGAAGAGTCCAAGGCCAGGTTGGACGGGGCTTGGAGCAACCTGGGCTGGGTTCCTGGGATGGGGTGCCGGGATGCAGGGGACGACGGAACGCCGGGATGCGGTGCCGGGATGCGGAGGCTTTGGCAGCCCCGCGGTGCGATCGGCTCCGGCTGCAGTGCCCGGCGCGGCCGTGGGATGGAGCCGTCCCCGCATCCCGTGGGATGGAGCCGTCCCCGCATCCCGTGGGATGGAGCCGTCCCCGCATCCCGTGGGAGGGAGCCGTCCCCGCATCCCGTGGGATGGAGCCGTCCCCGCATCCCGTGGGATGTTCCCGTCCCCCCGCGGCTCCGGCGGGGCAGCCCCGGCCCCTCCCCGTCCCGGCGCTGTGGATTCGGGGGCATTCCCGTGACACCGGAGCTGGCTGAGGGCAGCCCCTGCTCCCGGGTTGGGCGGGACCGTCCCGACACTTCCAGCAGCAGCTTCTGCATCCCCAGTGCCCAGAGAAGCTGTGGCTGCCCCATCCCTGCGAGTGTCCAGGGCCAGGCTGGAGCAACCTGGGCTAGTGAAGGTGTCCCTGCCCGTGGCACGGGATGCAACTGGATGGGCTTTAAAGTCTGTTCAGCCAAACGAGTCTGTGACTCTTTGAACACTCACCTGAAGTCCACATTTTGACCATGGGAGAACAGAACCACATTCCAAAAGTACCCAGAGAGCCACTTTCAGAAGCATGTTCCGGTTAAATGTTTAAAAGCTTCCTGTAATTGCACCATAATTTGGTTAAATTAAGCTTACCTGCACATGATTTGTATTTCATATAACCATAGAATCCCAGACTGGTTTGAGTTGGAAGGGACTTTAAAACTCATCTCATTCCACCCCCTTCCACCTTCCACTAGCCCAGGTTGCTCCAAGTCCCGTCCAACCTGGCCTTGGACACTTCCAGGGATCCAGGGGCAGCCACAGCTTCTCTGGGCAACCTGTGCCAGGGCCTGCCCACCCTCAGAAAAATTTTCATCCTTACATCTAATCCAAACTGACCCTCTTTTAGTTTAAAAGTTTTACCTCTATTTTTTTTTGAATGATTGTTGCAATCTACCAGAGCTTTGAAATGTTACAGATGTACCAATCGAGTTACTCTGCTGTGAATTCCCTGTGCAGATCAGATATTATCAGCCAGGGAGTAAGAACCAGCTCCTCCCTGCTGCTCCACCTGCTGCTGTGCAGTTTGTCCTTAGCACAGGTAGAGAAAATAACTGGGGTACCAAATGCTGAGGGCACTTAACAGTAAAAAAAAAAAAACAAAACAAAACAAAACAAAAACCAAAACCAAACAAAAACAAACAAACAAAAAACCACCACAAAATAACCCAAAATAAAACCCACTAATGATCACTTAATCTGTTGTTTCCTTCAGGGAACACCTTTGAGGACTATTCCAGAATCCTACAGCATGTCCCGACCAAGGGAGCTGCTGCCTACATGAGAGGTCAGTGAAGGGCGAGAGCTGAAGACCTGCTCCTGTTACTCAAACTGGGTTAAGTGGTAAATAGTTTTGCTGACCAAATGGGCATTTTATAGGAAAATAAATCCTTAGCTTTCCTTGAACGTGGGTGTGGTTGGCAACCCCCTTTCTGATCCTATAAATTGGGTTTTAGCTTGATTAAATAATTTAAAAAAAGAATAAAAAGCTATTTTCTGCATACACATGAATTTAAATCTCCACTATTTCCTTTCAAATATCAAGTGGGAAATAATGGAGATGTACATTCAAGCATCTCCCTGTCTTGAGTTTCTAGAGGGCTGCTTAAATCCTTGGAACTTTTTAACTCCCCATAACTTCCCCAGAATTCCCAGCTGCCTAGCCTTTTCTTGGAGTTTCCTGCAGGGAATTACTGAACAGGTAGCTCATTTTCCCAGCAAACACTCTGCTGGAAGGCACCTCAGGCTGAATTCAGGTCTCTGGAGCTCCTGTTAACACCTCTGTGCTTTCCTTTCCAGTGTCCAGCCCAGTGAACAGTTCCAAGCTGAGCCTGGTGGAGAAGGGGATTTGTGAGGACATCCAGTGCGAGAGCAAAGAGCTGGTGATAAAGAAACAAGGCGTCTACCTGATCTACTGCCACCTGAACTTCCACCTTCCCAACTGTTCCAAGAGCCCCACCGACCTCAAGATAGAGCTCCTCGTGAACGACAGGGTGGACAGGCAGACGTTGTCCACGTGGTGCGAGGCAGAAACCTGCCAAGGAAAGGCTTTTAAGACCTTGTTCCAGCTCCATTTGACCCACCTGAAGGCGAAGGACCGAATATCCGTAGCACTCAATCACCCTCAGTTCCTGAATGAGGATTCCCTGCCCAATGAGAACGTCCTCGGGGTGTTGAAGTACAGCGATGAGATGTGAGCAGCTCCCCGGCTTCCCACCTTTGCTCTCAACATCAGGAGCCTGCTTTTACCTGGCAACACCTTGGTCTGAAATGTCCTGTCTTACCTCAGCCCCAGGGTAAACAAGGAACTCTGCGAGTCTCCCAGAAAAAAAACCAAAAAACAAAAAACAAAAACCCCACACTGCAAGAGCCACAGCTGGGCAAGGTTCCCGTGCTTTGGCTCCAGGTGGGATTGTTGGACTACCCAGAAAACAACCCACTGGTGTGCCAAAGGTTCCTCCAACCACTCTGTGTAAACACAGGTTAAACCCCAACCAGATTATGGGAAGAATAAGCAATATGGAGACTTTTAGGGTAACAGACTGTAGGCTGAGCTGAGGAGATGGGGAATGGAGCAGTATTTTGACCTGGTCTTTCCAAAAAAACTAGCAGTCAAAGCTTGCAATCAAGGCTTTCTTTATCATGAGCACACAACCACAACTCTGGAGTAGATTTATGGATAGACTGGATGACAGCAAAGGTGATGAAATCATTGACTCTTGGGCTGGCAGCTGAAACTCTGGGGCAGGGCATAGAAAATATGGGATTTACAGGATATTTCTGTGTTGTGTTCTGCTGTGGACTTTGTGCAATTTCCTTCAAGTGTCCTCCTTTTCCCTATTTATCCATCTTTCCTATTTAAATATAAAGCTCTTTGGAGCAGAGACTTTGTACAGGCACAGTGCTTGGGCTCTGTTCTCACCTGGGGTTTTTAGACCTTTTCACACCAAATATTAAAGTAACAATTGAGTTGCAAATCCAGCAAATAGCAAAGTTCATTATGATACATTTTTCTTGAATCCTGCCCTGCCTGTCTGACAGTTCCTGTGTGACACACTGGGATGTAAATACACCTCCAACACTTGCTGGAAAGCCAAGAGTCAGGTCTGAGGTCCAGACTTTTCCAAATTTCAGACTGGCCCTCAGCTGAGAGCTGTGGTGTTTGGCAGCCCAGGGGATGGATGGTGTTTGAGCTTCTTTGGTTTACTGGCAAGTTTAGATAATACAAGATAAAAGAGGAATCTCAGGCTCTCTTATTCCCTGAATTGCAGCGAATTTGCAATGTAATTCTTAGAGTGTGGGGAGGGAAGGGACCCAAACTTTACCAAAGCTGGTATCAGTTCACTCTTTCCTCTCTTCATCTCTGACATTCCACTGTGGTCTATATTCACCATTATGCAAGTTTTTCCCCCTTGCCTGGCTGACATTTGTTATATGACTGGAGCTTGGCAAACCCTTCCCATCAAAACATTTCCTCATGGATTTTGTCTCTGGCCTGAGAAGCCCAGTGGTTTGTTATTCAGCCTTAGTTGATGTTGTCAAGTGATGTAGCTCGGTTTGTGGGAACACACTCAAATTATTCCTCATAGCAGTAATTTGTTACCTGTGCTATGTCACCAGGAACTGATGGTGCATATTAACGAGGTTTTGTCTCGTCGACCAGGTGACTCCAAAATACACCAGGCACTTTCTAAAGGTCAGGAGTAACTGATATGATTCATTGCTAGAGATATCTACTTTCTGTTTTGATAAACAATGATGCAAAAAAAAAAAAAAAATCCTGCTGTTATTAATGGTTGTGGGGGGAAAAAGAAAAGAAAACTAAATCCAAGAAAAATGAAAGCAAGTATTTCATTTTTTTCTTTTCCCCCTTAACAAAAACAAATTTATTTTTATAAGAGTCAGCTTTCCCTGCCTATGACTTTGTAACCTCCACTGGGATCTCCTCACCCCTCTGGACTCTATAAATCATCTCATGTCTCTAAATAGGGTTTTTAACCTCTATTTGCCTCCACTTTGATACACATAACTGATTCCCAGAGAAGTTTAAGCCAGCCTGGCTGTGGGGACTCACAGCTCCTGAGCATAGAAAAGGCAGCTAATGAATGAAAATATGAATTTGCTCCCACCTCCCATAGCCCTGCTTTTCCTGAAGGCTTTGAATCGAAAGAGAAAGAGCATTCTTTACAAAATAAAGCAGCTCTCTGCATAGGATGCTTTTATTCTATTATTTTGGCAGATGGAGGAAAGCCTGACAAAGCAGTGCTAAGCTCCTCAGCCCCAGGCTTTTTATACCACAGGATAAAGCAGTCTGCCCTCTACTCCGCTGCCTCTGAGAAATAAGAATAAATTAGAGCCGTAAAGAGAGCCCATTAATAGTGGCCAATTTCCCCAGCAGTTATAGGAATATTAAATAGCTTTCACTGGAGCAAGGCAGGCCCTGAGCCAGGCCTCAGTTTTTGACACACTCTGAGGCACTTCTTTCTGTCATCATTTTTTCCTTTTTTTTTGTTTTGGTTTGGTTTGGTTTGGTTTTTTCCTAGTTTTTTTGAAGCAGGTAATTTTTAACAAGTGGTTTTAAGAAAAGAATTCCAGGCTGGTCCTTCCCACAGTGACGTGTCCCTTCAGCAGTGTCAGGAACAATTCCCTGTGGGACTCGTCCCCCCTGTGCAGTAGGAGGGTCCTCACTCTGCTGAGGAGCATCTTCTGAGGAACCAGCCCTGCTCTGGTTCCCCATCACAGGGCTCAGCCCAGAGAAAGGAGGGATAATGAAAGCACTGAAGTCATGGAGAACCTGTGAAAATTCCTCCCCTTGTCCTCAGAAGAGCAAATGTGGGGGTTTCTGTTCCTGTGCTCCATCACTAACTCGAGTGGGCACAGGGAGCAGCAGCAACAACCTCCCAGGTCTGCTCTCTCTCTCTCTCTCTCTCTCTCTCTCTCTCTCTCGAGGTTTTTTGGCCCCTCCCAGACACTGAGAAAGTTGCACTTTTAAACTGATATCTGCTTGGCCGAGGGGCATTTTTAGGAGCTATTTATAATCTTGGTTGATAGGGGAAAGTGCTTAATTCTGGCTGTTGTTAATTGCTACAGAAAATGTTAACAGGGACTTCAACGGCAGCCAAGCTGATGGAACACAATTCCAGCCCAGCTCACCCGGGGGCAGCAAACCAAAAAATCTGATCAAGTTTAACATCAGAGATTACAGATCTGAGAAGGCTTTGAAACCAGGATTGCAATTAGATTTCACAAGGCATGATGACACCTCCCGTGAAATTGGCCTGAACCCAAACTCCTCAAAGCTCAGAGCTGAAAATTAGGCTATGGCTTGTCTGACACAGGTTCATTTTCACTGAGGGACTTTCACATTCACTCCTGGTTTTGTTTCACTTCTTTTCTTCAGCCCAAGGAGAAAAAAAAAAATCACAGTCACTTAGAGAGAAATCCCATATTGTTCCAGGGACAACCCTGCTACCTAAAAATTGCACAGCAATCCCTATTTAAAGATCCATCCTGGATCAACAGTGCATTGACCTTCTGCAAGGCAACTACCTGACTCTGCACTGCTTTCATCCACCCAGAGTTCTCTGAAGAACAAACAGCTTTCTGCAAATTCCTTAGCTTTAAATTAATAGCATTATTCACAATTTTATTAGAACAAAAAAACTCCAAGCAGCTCTACTGTTTTTGAGCACCCTGCCCTGAAGATAAAGTAAGGAAGGGACTACTCAACACAAATAAACTAACTGAAAAAAAAAAAAAAAAAAAACAGCTTTTGCTTTTGGGAGCTTCAACTGGGCCTTACTGACAGGTCTTGAAAAACTGGAAGTGATACAACTTGTGTTTGGTGTGAGCAGCAAGGGAAAACCTCGAACCAAAGGCAGAACTGAAGGGAGAATAACTGAAAAAATGCAAATTTTGGTGAGCAACACTTGTGGCAGCAGGAGCTGCACTTGGTGATCTCCGATCCTTTCTCAGCCTCGGCTTTTTACAGTTATAATAGACTTGATTTCAAGACAGGATGATGGAATGTGAGGACACAGGGCTTGGAGAAATGTTTAGGAAGAGCACATTGTGCAGCCACACCTGGACTCCTCACCCCCCAGCTCAGGGGGCTCAGCTGAAGTGGTTTAAATTCCCAATTTCTTTTTTCGGGAGCTTGAAGAGTTGGGGTGAAGGACAGTCTGAAATTCAGGTGTTTCCAAGGAGAATGATGCTTGTGAGACCCCAAAACCCGACATTTCCATCAGGGATAGAGCCTTTGGCCCCTCCACTCTCAGCATCCCCCTGGAGCTGCAGTGGGATCCCTGCAGGCAGCAGCCACTGGCTCTGTTGCAAGAGGAGGGAGTCAAGTCATCAGTTTTCCCTGAGCTGACATATCCTGCAGTATTAACATACCATTTCCCTTCATGTCAACAGCAGCTAAATTTAGGCTCCTTAATTTCCTCTAATAGCCAGTGTGAAACAGGAACCTCCAGGTGAGTCAGAGCACCCAAAATAGCTGCCCAGAAAAGACAGCTCAGCTGCTCTGCGAGCATTTACTCCGTCCTGTCACCGGCTCCTCAGCCCCAACAGCTTCATTTCAATCCAGAGATGAAGAAAAGATTATTTAATATGGGGATTGGTAATTTATGGACAGTTTCTACTGATAATTTGTGGACGGTTTTTACAGCTCCCCAGGGAGTGCTGCCCGTGCTTGGGGGCTGGGTGGGGCCCAGGGGAAGCCCACAGCTCTCCAGGAGAACATGTTCATAAAATAAAACACAAGAGACACCTGAGCAAGTTGTACTATTTATGGACACCCAAAAAAAAAAGGTTTATGGACACAAAAAAATAAGATTTATGGACACAAAACAGAAAGATTTGTCAGCTTAGGTCATTTTTATTCCCACCTATTCCTTGGACTTGTTCAGACCTGACTGATGGAGAGCCACGTTTGGAATTAAGAATTCAGCACTTGAAGTCACTTTTGAAGTGAATGTTTTCTTATCTGAAACTGTTTAGTAAATATTTTAGTATTTTAGTAAATATTTTAGTAAATATTTTAGTAAATATTTTTTCTTTCCTTCAGTTTGTGTATTTTCAATTTCCTTGTTTTTTTATCATTCCGTTTCTTCCTCTCTTTGCTTCTATTTTTCCAGCTCTATTTTTGCATAGAAGCAAATGGGAAAAGGAAATAAAACATGAAGGGGAAAAAGGA